CATAGCCGGATTCCACGAGCCAATCACTGGGACCTGGAACTGCTCACGCCAGGGAACCTGGAACGGGAGTGTTATGAGGAGCGGTGTTCCTGGGAGGAGGCGAGGGAGTATTTTGAGGACAATACTCTGACGGTGAGAGCCCCTCCAGGCCCTGGGATGTTCTGGCCCACAATTCCCTCTACCCTGGGTCTCAGAAATCAGGGTGGGTTGGTTTGGGGGGTATGGAATCTCCCCGTTGACATGCTGTCTTTCCACCTGCTTGACTTCCATCCTTTCAAGGAGCGCTTTTGGGAGAGCTACATCTACAATGGCAAAGGAGGTGAGTTGGGGCGGGGGGTGGGCAGGGGCTCTTGTTCTGTGCAGCTAAGGCAGCCCTTTCTCCTGGAGGTTGAACCAGCATACCCTACCCCAAATTTGCCTCCTCCAAATTCAGTGCTCCCTGAGTATCCTGGAGGGGGTTATTAAAAGAGTGCCCTCCTTTGAGACTAGAGCCCCTCCCTGAGGAACCCACCACACCTTATTTGGAGGAGGTCTCATGTCTTTAGGAAGAAGGAAGTGCAGGTGGAGAGGGGTTACAGCCCTGGGGCCTATGAGACCTCAGGCTCAGAGGCCCTGACCCACCTGAGTCCTTCTTTGGAGTCCAGAGCTCCAGCCCTTCTGCAGCTTGGTTGCTAGGGGGCTGCTCCCTAGCAACGGGGCCTGGCCAGGCCAGGCGGTGCAAGCCTGTGCATCCTCACCTTCCCGGGCTGCCCGCCCCCAACCCTTACTGTGAGTTCTAAGGCCCCACCATGGCTTCAGTCTTGTTGCTAAGGGGGAACTGCTCCTTAGCAACCAGGCCAGGCCAGGCCGGACCAAGGAAGACTGCAGCACTCACTACCTGGCTGGCTTCCCCTCCCCCACAGCCCCATCCCGGCCTTGGCCTGGTTACCAAGGAGGCCTCCCTAGCAACCACACCTAGCCAGGCTCAGGACCCAAGGCCCACTGCCCAGGGAGGAACCCCCTCCCTGCACCACATGCCCCATCCCCTTGTGGCCTGGTTGCTAGGGGTGGATGCCCCTTAGCAACAAGCCCTAGGTCTGGGCTGGAGTCCTCACATTGGAGCCTGGTTGCTAGGGGAGATAACTACCTCACTGCAGGCCTAGCAAGGCCTGGTGGCTCCTTGAATCCACCTGAAACATGTCAGAACCAGGAGGGCGTGCCTTCTCAGCGCAGCTCTTTGCTAAGGGGGCTGAAAGCCTGGGGTTTACTGTTTGAGCAAAGCTCCTGACCAGTGTTAAAGGAAGTCTCCCCAGCGGCAAGACCCAGGAGGGCCTCACCAAGCTGGTGTTCTCCCTGTGTCTGCTTCCCCTCAGACAAATGGTCTTGGATGGCTAAAGGCCTAGGGTCCTAGCAAAGGGCTCACCTGAGTTCTAGACACCCAAAAATCTGTTAGTTGGCGGGGGGGGGGGGGGGCGTTCCCGAAATTCCTCCATTGATAAACGAATTTTTCATAGCCTTCTGGTCAATTCAGAAACCTTCCTGCGATTCTGTTCTTCCTTCAGAGACTGGCCCCTCAGTGGCCTTGGATGTGGTAAAGGGACTATGTTCCAGAGGGGGGGAGGGGTGCCAGATAAAACACAGGACACCCTCCCCATCAGTTAAATTTGAATTTCAAATACAAATAAATTTTTTAGTATAAATGTATTCTAAATACTCCAACGGACATACTTACACTACAAAATATACATTGTGTATCTAAAATTAATGTTTAATTAGTATCATATATTATTATTTGCTAAATCTGGTAATGCTCAGTGTGGGGGCAGTTGCCTACCTGAGCTCCCCACCCCCAACTTCAGTGTGTCCATTGCCCTCTTAGCAGATGGATTTTGCTTAGGAGGGACTTGAGCCACGCTTTGTCCAGGGAGGGGCCTCTGTCACCATGGGGATTCCGCTACCATATTTTTTTAGTCCCAGGTGAAGTTATCATAGACCCTTTATGTGCTTGATCTCAATGAATTTCCACAGCCCATGGGGGAGGACTTATTGTTTCCATTTTACAGAGCAGCAAATGGAGGCTTAGAGAAATGAGTGCGTTGAGTTGCCTGGGTTCATGCACCTAGGAAGTGGCTCCCGCCGTTCTGCTTTGCTTCTTGGCCTGTACTTTTCCTTCAAGGGGAAGGCATTGGGTTGTCGGGGTGAGTGACAGCCCCTGACACAGTACCCCCCCCACCCCCCCACTGCAGGGCGTGGACGAGTGGACGTAGCAGGCCTGGCTGTGGGGTTGACGTCTGGCATCCTGCTCATTGTCCTGGCCAGCTTGGGAGCCTTTTGGTATCTGCATTGCCGACGGGGTAGAGGCCAGCAGCCCTGTCCCCAAGAGTAAGGGGGATTCAGAGAGAAGGGGCCTGGGGGCTGGAAAGCAGGGTGAGCAGAGGAAGAAGGAAGGGTGGACCTAAGGAGAGATGAGTCAAGGATTGGGACAGGTGGGCACTGAGGAAGGATCTGGGGAGACTATCAGGTGGAGAGTCAGTCTGTGAGAACACGCGGGTATGGTTATTGCCGTTTGTCCATCTGACTATGTCCTCAGTACCCGGCACACAGTAGGAGCTCAATCAGTATTTGCCGCCTGTCTCCATGGTACCCGGTTTATGTGTGATTATCACTCTGTCTGCATTGTATCTCGTGAGGCTGCAGCGTGTGGTCTCTGGTGTCAGTGATATGTCAGTTTCCGTGGTGCCAGGCTGTAGAACACGTGTGTGCGCGCCTTCTGAGTTGTCTAGGCGTGTCTCTCTTAGTGGCAGGGTCTAAGAAAGTGCTTGAGTGTCAGTCTTCAAAGTATGGTGGGTCTGGGGGTTTTTCAGAAGGGTTAATTTTTAAGAGTGGCACAGGGAAATTTGTGACTGGGTGTATCTCTGTGTTGTGTCTGCTTCTGTGTGTGTCTGCCTGTCTCTCTGCAGGGCTTTTTCTCCATTGCTCTCCCTGTAGCTGGAACGCATGTGTGTCTGTGAATAAGAGTATGTCTCAGCAGTTAATTTCTGTCTGCCCCTCTCTGTTCATCTGTCTGCCTGTCATTCTGAGGTGCTTTTCTGTGTGCCGGGTCAGGCTGAAGGTGACCCTCTTTCCCCCTGCTCTTTCTCCCTTCCATTTGTGTCCCCATGCCACCCTCAGAGTCTCTGTGTCCCCCCTAGGTCTTCCCACCTGCCTTCTCCCGAGTCCCTCTATCCTGTAGGTTTCCCCGGCTAACCGTGTACTTTCTGTCCCCAGGGCTGAGCTCATTAATTCCCTAAGTCCCCTGGGCGACCTAGGCCCACCGACGCCCCTGCCTCCACCCCCACCCCCAGGCCTCCCCACCTACGAGCAGGCTCTGGCGGCCTCTGGGGTGCACGACGCACCTCCGCCCCCCTACACCAGGTACTGAGCTGGGCTTCTACCTGGGGGTGGGGAGCAGAGGGGAGGATGCTGCGGGAGGAGGGGCGTGGGCTCAGGGGCGGGACTTGGAATTTTGAGCTTATTATCCGGGGCGAGGCTTGGAGCGTGGGGGCGGGGTCCTATGCAATTATCTGGGGGCGTGGCCCAGTGTTGTCTGTGTGGAGCTTTACCGGAGGGTGGGTCTTATGCCCAGAGGGTCTGCGATTGGCTGAGACGCCCGCGGGCGGGTCGGAGTGGTCTAGGTTCAGGGAGGGAAAAACAGCCGGGTCTTTGACTCCCCGTTGTGCCCCTCCCCTTGCAGCCTCAGGAGGCCTCGCTGAGGAGCTGTTTCCGAGCTGAGGTTCCCCAGATTCACAGCGGATTCCAGAGCCCCCAGGCCTCTTAAACTACATAGCTGAGCTCGGGGAGTGGTGGGAGTAGGGGTCGTCCGGCCCGAGGCCTACCCTGGCACACGTGTTTCCGCCGAGACGGATACGCGCATATCCCCGGCCAACGTGTTCCCTCGTCCCGGTTACTCGCGGGCTTCCAGGCTTTCCTGACTGTAGGGGGGGGGGTACCCGCCAGTCCCGCCCCCGGGGTAGGCGTGCGTGGAAACTCAGACCCCGGCGCGTAGGCCGGGTATACCCACTCGCGTGAGTGAGCAGGTGTGACAAGGCCATCGCCCTACAATGCCACGGACCACGCACACGCAGGGCCCTGCTTATGCACACGCATGTTTTCGTGCACTCCCGGTGCACGCTCGCAGGCGCTCTGGAACCTGGGGAAAAGGGCGGGGGGCATATTTGCAAACGTGCTTTTTAGGGGAGGGCTCGCATTGCATCGGGAGACCGGAGTTGAGCTCTTCTCGTAAATTAAAATGCTTTGTAAAAGAGACAAAGAGTGAAACAACGCAAAAAAATAAAAATTAAATAAACTGAATCGCATTCCCGGGCGCGTCTGCGCGCGGCGGAGTTGGCTTTCTGTACAAACGCTGCGCCCTACACCCCCAGGCCCTGCTAGCGCTCAGTATCTCTCTCTCTCTCTCTCTCTTTTTTTTTTTTTTTTTGCATTTGCACGGGATTGTGGGAGGAAGCGGAGCGCAGCCAGACACCCCGCCGCCCGCCCCCCCTTCCCCTCCCCCCTCCCCCAGCCGCCTTGTGCAAAGATGGCTGCACCGTGAGCGCAGAGGAGGAGGAGGCGGCGGCGGCGGCGGCGAGAGAGCGAGCACCCAGCGCCCGCACCCACCCCGGGGCCGCCCGGGACGCCCCCTCCTGAGCGCGCGCCCTCCCTTCTCTCTTGCAAGCGCCGGGGCAAAGGCGGAGACAGCGGGGTCCCTCCTACCCCCCTTTCCCTCCAGGGGGAACCCCCCTTCCCCCCTCCTTGGCTCGGCGGCTGCACCCCCCTCCCTTGCCCGCCCCTCCGCCCCTCCGCCCCTCCGCCCCTGCCCCCTCCCTCCCCAGCCCGGGGCCTTCCCGGGTCTTCGGCGGCTGCAAAGAAAAAGAGAGAGAGAGAGAGAGAGAGAGAGGAAAAAAAAAAGCAGCAGCGGAGGGAGCGGCGGCGGAGGAGAGCGCGCGCGCGCCCCCTCCCTCCCTCCCTCCCTCCCCCTCCCCCCAATTTCCACCGCGGCCAATTCATGGACAGGAACTACCCCAGCGCCGGCTTCGGGGACCCGCTCGGCGCCGGGGCGGGATGGAGTTACGAGAGGTCAGCGAAAGCTAGGTAAGGAGCCGAGGGTGGCCTGGAGGAAGGGGCCAAGGGGTGGGGGCCCAGCCGGGCCGGGCCTGGCCCGCCTGGCGACGCGTGCATCGCAAACTCCCCTCCGGCTTGCAAGGGAGCGGCCTTCCTCGGTTTGCAACAACGCCGCCGCCCCAGTTTGCAAATTGCAAACTCCGCCAAAGCCAGCTCCGGCATGCAAAGGGAGAGATGCAGCGGGAAAATGGGGGTGCAAAACAATTTCGGACGGAAAGGCCCTGGGAAGGTGGGAGGGACTGGCGAAGCAAGGCCTGGATTTCCCCCCATCCTTGGATTCCCGGCTTGCTGATCCCTACCCCCTGCGCCCCAGGCTCTGCTCTTGCAAAGGTGGGATGGAAAGGAGAATTAGAACGCAGACCTGGGGGGCGCCCCCCCTCCCGTCCTATTGTTCCGGGACTGCGCGAGGCCGCGCCACTCGGCCTCCCCCCCCCCGAAATTCCGCGCGCAGAGTGGGCACAGGGCCCCGCCCCCTTTCCAAGCTGGGGTTCTGTGGGGGGGTCCTGGAATCTGAGACACGCCCCCTTTAGCTCCCCCACCCCCAAAGGCAGAGAATCCTAGTTGATGGCGAGGAGTGGAGTATTTGACCTCTTGAGTCCGAGCCATGAATCGGGGCCGTTGCATGGGAAGATTCAGATGTTTCCCTGGTGTGTGGTTGTGTGTGTGAGCGTGGGCCCTGTTCGTGCTTAGTTGGTAGCCTGCTCACCTGCGAATCAGCCCCTTTTCTGCTGTTTATGTCCTGCCCTCACTCTTCACCTGTCCCCAGCCCCCCGCCCCCTGGGTTTCCCAGCGTGGCTGGGCATGACCCCACATGTGTTAGGATTTTCCATTTGGGACGTAGCGCTCTGTATGTCTCCTTCCCCACCGGTGAGCTGGATAGTCGTTTGCACACATACCTGGGTTTGCAAGGGCTCATGCATTTGAACCTCAACCCCGGGGGATGGACGTTGTTCATGTTCGCACTTGTACCTGGTACTTTCCCCTAGTCCTATCCCTTCCCCACCCCCCATCCCAGCCGTTTGGGGAACAGTCTACCTCCTGCTCCCGACTCGGTTTGCATCACCCCATGAGGTTCAGGGCCATGTGTTCCCACGTGTGTGCCGTAGAGTGGCCGTCCTTATGCACCTCTCAGGTTGGCCCCAGGGCCTTGTGTCATCCAGGGGGTGGTGGGCTCTGTAGGAGGTCCATGCCTTTCACATTTTTAACTTGAGGCACTTTCTCCGACTCTTCACCCTCTTCTGTTTGTCTCGTCGCTGTGCATGGCTGTGTTTGTAAACGTGAGAATATCTGGGCTCTATTTATTGGGGCTCGAGTGGGGAATGTTTCATGACTCTTTTCGTTGGGTACCCCGATTCCCTTGTCTTCTTTCCTTTAGGGCCCAAGGTTCCTTAGGATAACCCCCAGTCAGCTGGAAGATTCCCCCCCACACCCCGGGGGATTTGCTGAGTTCCCTTCTCCTAGGGCAGCCTCGGAGGACACCCTAACATCTCTCCCTTCCCCCCAGCTTGGTCTATGGCAGCTCCAGGACCTCGCACCCCGAGACCGACATCTTACACCGCCAGGCCTACGCGGCCCCCCACCCACTGCAAAGCTATGCCACCAACCACCACCCGGCAGGTACGGCCCCCGTCCTGCCCCGCCTGGGCTGGCCCTCCCTCTGAGGCAGCTGGTTGGCTGCTGAAAGTTCCACCCCTCCTAATTGGCCGTGTCCTGTGTCCTGGCCCGCCCCTTGCTGCCTCTCCTCTGATTGGTTGCCTCTGAGGCTGCTGGTCCCTGCTCAATTTCACGCTGGATTCGTCCACCCTTGTCTCTGGCCCCGCCTCTTTCGCTCCAATTGGCCCCGTCCCCTCAGCCCCCAAATCCCACCTTCTCTTCCAGGCTTTTCCTTCTCTCTATCCCACCCCAGTCCTTTTCCTCTGGGTTTTGCCCATCCTCTTGGTTCCTTGGTTATGTGAATTTCTTCCTGATTCCTTTTCTTCCTGATTGGCTCTAAGTCTTCGGACCTTCCCTTTTTTTCCCGGGTTTGCCCACCACCTTACTCTTCGCCCTGTAGTCCCGTGCCTCTGGCGCTTCTGATTGGTTCCCTTCTTCCTTGTTGAACCAGCAAGAAGATTATATTGTCCGATTTGGTCCTTAACTTGCCTGGTTGGCTCCTCACCTTTTTTCTTTCCCATTTTTTTTCCCCCGGGATCCTCCCACTTTTAATCAACCCCTTTCGGCCTGCCCTCCGGTCCTTCTAAGTGGCCCCAGGTACCCCATCCCTTCCCCTTCCTTGCTAGAACTGCCCAAATCCTTTTGTGTCTCCCCTGCCCCCCCACTAAGAATTCTGTCCCGTTGCACCCACTTCCTTTGAGTCTGGGTGTTTCTACTCCTTTGCCTACCTTCCCTCCCCTGGGCCCCCTGCTCCTACGATTGGCGTACACCTCATCCTGCTTTTTGGCTCCCTTTTCCCCTTTGTTGTCCTCGGCCCTGTCTCCTTAGTTTGGCTGTGTCCACTTTATTCTCTTTGAGTCTTCCTCTTTGCTTCTTCCAGCCCTTTTCCCTGACCCAGCTTGCTTTTGGCCTCTAACTTTTCCCTTTCAACGCTGCCTTACAAGCCCACTTAGCTGACTCTACCCCCTTGTCCTTGGCCAGGCCTCTCTGGACTCTTCGACACTGGCCTCCACCACGCGGGCTCAGCAGGGCCCGACGCCTCCGTCATGAACCTCATCTCAGCCCTGGAGTCCCGGGGCCCCCAGCCTGGCCCCTCTGCCTCCTCTCTCCTCTCCCAGTTCCGCAGTCCTTCCTGGCAAACAGGTAAGCCCAGCACCGGCCCAGGAGGGCCAGGGTGGGGCTGGCACGTGGTCCGCCCTGACCTGTGGTCTTCTCCATCGTCCCCAGCCATGCACACGCCAGGCCCCACGGAGCTCTTCATTTCAGGCGCCCTGCCGGGTTCCAGCACCTTTCCATCCTCCTCTGCCCTGTCGGCTTACCAGCACCCGGCTTCCTTCGGCAGCCGCCCCTTCCCAGTGCCCTCGTCCCTCAGCCTCCAAGACCCCCCGTTCAGCCCCCCAGCTAATGGGCTCCTGTCCCCTCATGACGTGTTGCACCTGAAGCCCTCACAGGCACCCACGGTGCCATCCTCGCTGGGCTTTGAGCGCCTGGCGGGGGGCGGTGTCCTGGGGCCCGCTGGTCTCGGCCCGGCCCAGACCCCTCCATACCGCCCCGGCCCCCCAGACCCTCCCCCACCTCCCCGCCACCTCCCGACTCAGTTCAACCTGCTGGCTTCCTCTTCCGCCGCTGCCGCCGCCGCCGAGCAATCCTCCCCACAGCTGTACAACTTCTCGGGTGCTGCCCCGGGCCCCCCGCCACCCGAGCGGGCCCTGCCCCGCCAGGACACCGTCATCAAGCACTACCAGCGGCCAGCCAGTGCCCAGCCCCCGCCGCCCCCGCCACCAGCCCATGCCCTCCAGCACTACCTGAGCTGTGGAGGCAGCTATCCCTCCATGGGCCACAGGGCTAACCTGGCCTGCAGCCCCCTGGGCGGTGGGGAGCCCTCCCCCGGTGCTGGCGAGCCTAGCAAGGCTGGGCCCAGTGGAGCCACGGCTGGGGCATCGGGCCGGGCTGCAGGCCCCGAGGCGGCTGGAGGAGGTGGGGCAGGGGGTGGCGGTGGAGGTTACCGCCCCATCATTCAGTCGCCCGGTTACAAGACGGGCAAAGGCGGCTATGGAGCAGCTGCGGGCGGTGCCAACAGGCCCCCACCACCCCGTTCAACGGCCACGCCCAAATGCCAGAGTCTGGGTGGGCCAGCAGCGGCCTATGCCACTGGGAAGGCCTCTGGGGCTGGTGGGGCAGGTGGCCAAGCCTATTCCCCTGGTCAGCCCCAAGGGCTTCTAGGACCCCAGGCCTATGGGCAAGGGTTTGGAGGGGGTCAAGCACAGGACTTGAGCAAAGGCCCTAGCTACTCAGGGGGGCCCCCGCAGCCCCCCAGTGGTCCCCCGCCTCCCGGCCTAGCCACGTGTCAGAGCTACTCCCCAGATCAGCTGCAGGGGCAGCTGTATGGGGTTCAGGGCGAGCCATACCCAGGCCCAGCTGCCCACTCCCAGGGGCTACCCACGGCCAGCCCCTCGCTCAGCTACAGCACTGGCCATTCCCCAGCGCTCTCAGGTCACGGCGGTGGCTGGGGGCCCAGCTCCCTGGGGGGTGGTGGGGAGGCCAGCCCTTCTCACATCATCCGCCCACTGCAGTCACCGCCTGCCCCTGGCCGCCCGCCTGGAGTCGGCTCTCCAGGAGCCCCTGGCAAATACCTGAGCTCTGTCCTGGCCTCAGCCCCATTCCTGGCGCCTCCAGGAGCCGGCAGCTACGCAGCCGGAGCAGGTGGCTACAAAGGCAAAGGGGATGGCTCGGAGCTGCTGGCTGGGCCTGGTGGGCCTCCTGCTGAGCGCACAGAAGATGAGGAATTCCTCATCCAGCATCTCCTGCAGGCACCTAGCCCCCCGCGGACCTCAGGGGCAGATGGCTTGGTGGGTGAAGATGGGGCAGCGGATGCTTCCAAGGGACTTGGGGGTAGTGGTGGGGCCGGGGGTCCACCAGGCACACCCTACGAGCTGGCCAAGGAAGACCCCCAGAGGTATCATCTACAGAGCGTCATCCGTACCAGTGCCAGCCTCGATGAGGGCGCCACAGCAGCCCTGGAGCTGGGCCTGGGGAGGCTGAAGGAGAAGAAGAAAGGGCCAGAACGGGGCGGCGAGACCCCGGAGGGGCTGGCCACCTCAGTTGTCCACTATGGGGCAGGTGCCAAGGAGCTGGGGGCCTTCCTCCAAAAGAGCCCACCACCCCCACCTCCCACGGCTCAGCCTGCCCAGCCCACACCCCACGGTCTCCTCCTGGAGGCTGGGGGCCCTGACCTCCCACTGGTGCTGCCTCCACCTCCCCCCCCACAACTGCTCCCCTCAGTCCTCAGCCATGCCCCCAGCCCCTCTCCCAGTGCCCCAAAAGTTGGCGTTCATCTCCTTGAGCCAGCCACCCGTGATGGAGCACCCCAGCCGCCCCCGCCGCCGCCCCCACCTCCACCACCCATGCCCCTCCAGCTTGAGGCCCACCTCCGCAGCCACGGCCTGGAGCCTGGTGCCCCCAGCCCCCGCCTGCGACCTGAGGAGAGTCTGGAGCCACCAGGCGCCATGCAGGAATTGCTTGGGGCCTTGGAGCCACTGCCCCCGGGGCCTGGTGACACTGGCGTGGGCCCACCTAATACCGAGGGCAAGGATCCCTCCGGTGCCTACCGCAGCCCCAGCCCGCAAGGCACCAAGGCCCCCCGCTTTGTGCCACTCACGTCCATCTGTTTTCCTGACTCCTTGCTCCAAGATGAGGAGCGCAGCTTCTTCCCCACCATGGAGGAGATGTTCGGTGGAGGGGCAGCGGATGACTATGGCAAGGCAGGGCCGCCCGAGGACGAGGGTGATCCCAAGGCGGGGACTGGGCCACCTCCAGGCCCCCCTGCCTATGATCCCTATGGGCCCTACTGCCCGGGTCGGGCGTCTGGAGCCGGGCCCGAGACGCCGGGCCTGGGCCTGGACCCCAACAAACCGCCTGAGCTGCCCTCCACGGTTAATGCGGAGCCTCTGGGCCTGATCCAGAGTGGGCCACACCAGGCGGCCCCACCACCCCCACCTCCCCCTCCACCGCCGCCGCCTGCCTCAGAGCCCAAGGGAGGCCTGACCTCGCCCATATTCTGCTCTACCAAGCCAAAGAAGCTGCTCAAGACGTCCTCCTTCCACCTACTACGGCGCCGTGACCCACCCTTCCAGACGCCCAAGAAGCTGTATGCCCAGGAGTACGAGTTTGAGGCAGATGAGGACAAGGCCGATGTGCCCGCTGACATCCGCCTCAACCCTCGGCGCCTGCCTGACCTGGTGTCCAGCTGCCGCTCCCGCCCGACCCTCTCACCCCTGGGTGACATCGACTTCTGTCCACCCAACCCAGGCCCCGATGGCCCCAGGCGCCGTGGCCGCAAGCCCACAAAGGCTAAGCGCGATGGCCCGCCCCGGCCCCGGGGTAGGCCCCGGATCCGCCCATTGGAGGTCCCCACCACTGCTGGGCCAGCCTCAGCCTCCACGCCCACTGAAGGGGCCAAGAAACCTCGGGGCCGGGGCCGTGGTCGGGGCAGGAAGGCCGAGGAGGCAGGGGGCACACGGCTGGAACCCCTAAAGCCACTTAAGGTGAGGGGGACTGGGGTCGGGATGGCTAAGGTCTAGAGAAAGCAAAGGTTTTGGACTGCAGTTCTGGGGCGGGATGGGGGCTGTGGTTTATATTCTTTTTTTTTAAGATTTTTATTTATCTGAGAGAGCGAGAATGAGAGAGAGAGAGAGAGAGCGCGCACATGAGGGGGGAGGGTCAGAGGGAGAAGCAGATTCCCCGCCGAGCAGGGAGCCCGACGCGGGACTCGATCCCGGGACTCCAGGATCATGACCTGAGCCGAAGGCAGTGGCCCAACGAACTGAGCCACCCAGGCGCCCTGTGGTTTATATTCTTGAATCTGTGAGGAAGTGAACCTGAGTGTTGAGATTCTAGGTTTCCACCATCAGAGAGATCTGAGAATTGAGACTTTGGGGGTCTAGAGGGAGGCCCATGGTATTGGAGCTTGGGTTCTTAGGTTCTGGGTCTCAAAGGACCTGCGATTGGGGGTTTCTCAATTCCTGGGTCTTGTGGGAGGAGGGGCTGGAGGCTGGATTCCCGGGCTGGAAGCAAAGAGGGATCAGTGAGTGCTGAGGGAGGAACTCCAGTCCTGTCATTCTGGAACGCGAGAGGAGGGGGTCTGTGGGCTTGAATTTTAGGGTTCTACAGGCTGAAAGTGAGAATCTGACCTAGCTCTTAAGGGAAGGCTGGGGGCTTGCACCTCGGCCTCTGAGCTGGGAGGGAGCTTGGGGCCCCAGACTTGTGGACCCTGACTCCCCACTTCCCCGATATCTAGATCAAGCTGTCTGTGCCCAAGGCCGGTGAGGGTCTGGGAGCCTCCTCTGGCGATGCTGTACCCGGTGCTGACCACAACAGCCTGGACTCCAGCCTGACCCGGGAGAAGATTGAGGCCAAGATCAAGGAGGTAGAGGAGAAGCAGCCAGAGATGAAGTCCGGCTTCATGGCCTCCTTCCTGGACTTCCTCAAGTCAGGCAAGCGTCATCCGCCGCTCTACCAGGCTGGCCTGACACCCCCACTCAGCCCCCCCAAGAGCGTGCCGTCCTCCGGGGCGGCCCGTGGCCTGCAGCCCCAGCCTCCTACCACCCCTGCTGTGCCACACCCGCCGCCCGCTGGCGCCTTCGGGCTGGGGGGTGCGCTGGAGGCGGCCGAGAGTGAGGGGCTAGGGCTGGGCTGCCCTTCGCCCTGTAAGCGGCTGGACGAGGAGCTGAAGCGCAACCTGGAGACGCTGCCCTCCTTCTCCTCGGACGAAGAAGACTCTGTGGCCAAGAACCGGGACCTGCAAGAGAGCATCTCCTCAGCCATCTCGGCACTCGATGACCCACCCCTCGCTGGGCCTAAAGACACTGCCACCCCAGATGTGCCCTCCTTGGCGACTGAGGCTGCGGTGCCAGGGCCCCCCCCTCTCCCGGGGCTCCCTAGTGCCAGCAGCAATGGCACACCCGGTGAGCTCTGGGAAGATGATCTGGGGGTGGGACGAGGCTTTCCCTGTTATTCAGGTCACTGGGTATGGTTGTGCAGATCGTGCACTGTTTAAGGGGCATCGTTCACATTGTAGATGAGGTAGATTTGTGTGTTTACAAATTGAGAGCAAACAGGTGTTGTGAGAAAGGTATCATTTTCTAATTTGTCCATAGGTGCTAAGTATGCTAGGGCGCCCCCAAGGTGGGCACTGGAGACTGGTGGGAGACAGAGCAGGTTGTAAGTGACCGGGACAGGTGGGAGACAGGGTACTGAGAGAGCTTTGAAAACCGGCAGGGATTCAGGGGCCCAAGAAGGAGCTCGGATTTAGAGATGTGTGGCAAAAGACAGAAGGACGCCTGGGTGGGGGAGGGGGGTATAGGGAGAGACTGGAACATTGATTGATGGGGTCTTGCGGGGGGGTGAGAGGGAAGGGCTGGGGGTGCGGCAGGGTCTGGATGGTGTTCTGTCCTGAGAGAGGCTTTGGACAAATTTTAAGGTGCTTTGATGGGGGAACGGGGGCATTGATTTGGAGAAGGGCATTTGTGGCAGTTAATGAGGGGGCTTGAGGGCTCAGAGGCGTCCTAGGGAATGGAGGGGGCTTCTAGGGGATTGTAGGAAGGTGGGGAACGGAGCAAGGGAGCGAGAGGGTGCGAGGCTGAAGCAGAGCTGAGAGATGCTGGGAGCTTCTGAGCAGAGTGTCAGGATTTGCTGAAATGGGAGTGAGCACCGGGTTGCGAGAACCTTGGAAGGGTCAGGAAGGCTCATAGCTAAGGACACAGCAACAGAGAAGAAGCAGTTTTAGGAATCAGGAAGAATTTTAAGGCGTTAGAGGGGGACGCTAGAAAAACCCATGGGGAGTTAGTGGGAAGCAGAGGGCAATGAATGGTCCCCAGAGTAGAGAGCAGTCCGAGGAAAGGGCAGGGAAGATCTTGGATGGAGAAGGACAAGATCCCCCCCCTGAGCAGGAAATGAGGTAGAGGTGCAGATGGAATGATTGGGGAATTGGGAGGGAAGGTAAAAAATGGGAGGTGAGAGCCAGCAAGGGCTTGGAGGCAACTAAGAGGTGTTAAGGACTAAAAGGGGCAACAGGATGAACATTCAGGGGCTTGGAATTACCGCTGGAGCTGGAAAGGGGTCTCAGGGAGGGATTTTGACAGAGCAGAAGGGCTTTGGGGGAGTTGAGGAGCTGTTGGCATAGGAAGAGACATTCAGGCACAAGAGAAGAGGTGCTAGGGATGGTGAATGGCATTCAGGAACTAGGAGCCGTGTCAGGGCAAGGAGCTTTGTAGGGACTTGGGGCAAGAGGCAGTTGAGGGATGAGGAAGGGGTGGTGGTGGGACAAGGGACGACTGATTTTGATGGAAGGACATTGGGTAATGGTATTAGACCACACTAAGGGACAGAAGGTGAGAGTATGTGGAAGCCAGGAAAAAGATGGGGAAGGACAGAGCACCCTGTTTGGGTGGGAAGGCTTATTAGGACATTGGAGAAAGAAGTTAAGGGAACATGGGCTTCCTGTGGTTGTCTGGGGACAGAAGTGGTATGAAAAGTCCTGGAAGGGAGGGCGGCCATGCCTGGTTGGCTCAGTCGGTGGAGCATTCTGTTCTTGATCTGCCGGGTTGTGGGTTCCAGTCCCATGTTGGGTGTAGAGATTACTTGAAAGCAAAATCTTTTTTTTTTTAAGATTTTATTTATTTACTTGAGAGAGAGAGAGAGAATGAGAGATAGAGAGCATGAGAGGGAAGAGGGTCAGAGGGAGAAGCAGACTCCCTGCTGAGCAGGGAGCCCGATGGGGGACTCGATCCCGGGACTCCAGGATCATGACCTGC